AACAATTTGTTGTGGAATATTTTTGTTTTAATAATTTAAAAAAATGAATAAATAAATAATAAAAAATAAAAACTAAAAATAAATAAAAATTAAAAATAAATAAAAAAAATATTAAAAAATAAATTTAAAAAAATGCTCTGATTGGGGTTATTTTGTCATTTCTGCCTGAGGGTTTTTACTTGTATGCAATATAAACGGGGTTTATATTATTATATATTATATATATATTTATTATATTTATATCTCCAGGTTCACCAGTGCGGTGGTGTACCAGGGCCTGATCATGCGTATATATATATTTATTATATTTATATCTCCAGGTTCACCAGTGCGGTGGTGTACCAGGGCCTGATCATGCGTTTGGGTATCCTGGGGGGGAACGTGTACGTGGACTTCCTGATCTCGGGGCTGGTGGAGTTTCCCGCCGCGCTCCTCATCCTCGTCACCATCGAACGCGTCGGCCGCAGACTCCCGTTCGCCGCCGCAAACTTTGTGGCCGGAGCTTCCTGCTTCGCCACGGCCCTCATCCCCGAGAGTGAGTCCCCCGGGAAAAAAGCCGGCGGCCAAGTCGGCCATTTTGATTAGGTCAGGTGACTAGAAGGTTTCTGAGGTGGAAACGAAACGAAACAATACTGTCGATACGAAATCAGAAGACAAACGATGTGTTGACCCTGACTCTGACCCGAAATCTTACCCTAACCCTGATCTTAAAAGTAACCGTGACCCTGACCCTAAACCTAACCCTGACTCTGACCCTAACCCTAAACCTAACCATAAGCCTAACCCTGACCCTAACCATAACCCTAACCCTAATCCTGACCATAAACTTAACCCTGACTCTAACCCTTATCCTCCACCCTAACCCGAAACCTGACCCTAAACCTGACCCTAACCCTGACCCCGACCCTAACCCTGACCCTAATCCTAAACCTAGCCCTGACTCTAACCCTAAACCTAACCCTAACCCTGATCCTAAACCTAACCCTGACCCAAACCATAAACCTAACCCTAACCCTGACTCTAACCCTAACCCTGATCCTAAACCTAACCCTGACCATAACCCTGACTCTAACCCTGACTCTAACCCTGACCCTGTTAGCCAGATTAATTTCACTATTTCTAAATTAATGTTTATATTGCCATGAAGCAATTACGACTATCTTGCCTGGGATCTTCCTGTTGGTGACCTAATCAAAATGGCCGACTTGGATGTGGGTGGAGTTGGAGTTGGCCTCCTGCAGCCTAACGCGCTGCTTGTGTCCTGCAGGCATGTTCTGGTTTAAGACGGTGGTGGCGTGCGTCGGGCGGCTGGGCATCACCATGGCCTTCGAGATGGTCGTGTTCGTCAACACGGAGCTCTACCCGACGTTTGTCAGGTGAGGGGGGGGGTTAGGGTTAGGGTTAGGGTCACACCTCACTACACCGTGTGTAACGATATTTTAGACCCGATCACACGACCATAATCCCAGGATGTTAAAGTTATTCAGGTATTCCTGTTTAACTGACTGCCATTTTCAGAACAGAGAGTCCCATACTGCCAGAGTTTTTTGAGCATTTTGACTGATTTTTCAAGAGCCACAGAATAGTTTGTGCTATGACTATGTAAATACCGAACACACCAAAAGAAAGAGTAGACTCTCTTGTTTCATCAGGAAAAAAAATGTGTTTCTACCTTATTCCGTTCTTCCTCGACGTGCGTCTCACCGGCGACATGTTCTCTCATAGAACCGTTACCTTTTTCTTATTTGCCTACAGTCTATGCTCATCTCCCATCAAAAGTGGCACTGCCCCCTAGAGGGTCAATTTGTTACTACATACTCTGTCTAGAAGCCTGATATTTACAGACAAGCTTTAGCAGATCGTCCCCCAGCCACTCTCGTTGAAAAACATAAAAGATCTCTACAGACGTCTTTGGCAGCCAGTGAGTTAAAGACCGAGTTTTTCGAAAGTTTTAAGCAAATCAAAGCAAATTCCTCTCCTTTGGCAGGTTCATGGCCCCCTTTTTCTTTTGTTTATGTTTCTGCATTTAGCAGACGCTTTTATCCAAACGACTTACAAAGTAGACACAATTTTACGGTTATCATCAAAATGACAATTAGTCCTCTAGAGGAAAATTCCCTGTCAGAGTTAGTGGTGACAGCAGGAGAAAGAGAAAGAAGCACAGAAAGAGGAGTAGAGGGGACAGAAGTGTGGGGAAGAGTCAGGATTTTGAGGGGAAAAGGCTCATCCGACCCCTTTAAATTAGGCTTTCCAATCCGTTTGGATGGCTGAATGACCACTACTCTGTGGATGGATAAGCAGAAATATGAATGAAGTTTTAGGTTGATTTGGTGCTTAAGGTAAAGCAATTAGTCCATCAAAATTAACCTAAAACTAGTTTTGTTTTCATCTTTTTGATGAGAATTACATGATAAAGCTTCTGTTTTGTCCTTTTAAAAACGAAAAGCTGCCACCTCTGGTTTTGAGCTGTGGTTGTGGTCCCACAGGAACCTGGGCGTGTCGGTGTGCTCCACTCTGTGTGACGTCGGGGGCATCGTGGCTCCTTTCCTGCTCTACAGGCTCGCCGTCATCTGGCTGGAGCTGCCTCTCATCATTTTCGGTGGGTCATACTGTATATTTGACTTAAATCTGATCTGAGTGAGCGTCTATTTGTATTAAACATAAGAAAAAACTACACGGATCCCTTTTGCATCTGTATTTATGCACTTTTAATGAGAATTTATCAAACCATAAACATCAACACATCAATTCAAAGCATGATTCTCTGATAATTAGTTAATTTTTTCAAGTTTATTGTTGTATTTTAAGACAAATATTTCTGACAACAGAACTTAAAACACAGTAAAATGTTTGTTTCTATTTACTTTTTGTTCGGTTATTTTGTCAAGATCTTGAAAATGGTCAAATACTGAGTAAATAAAGCTTTTTCTGGCTGATTTGAATGAAGTTTGTGTAGTTTGTGTGATGCCGTGTGCCGTTTTGTTCAGGCTCTTTGGCGTTTGTGGCCGGTGGGCTGGTTCTTCTGCTTCCTGAGACCAGAGGAGTGCCTTTACCCGAAACTATCGACGACATCGAGTTTCCAGAAAGGTAAAAAGATCCACTTTCACAGCTCTAATACTTTTCCTGTCTCACATGCTGATGTTCTCCTCATTGATCGGTGATCCGAGGCAAATGTTTTATCTGGATTCCAAACATTTAACCCTGTAATGCCAAATGTATCATATTTGATAGATACGGTTTCTGAAATGTTTTGCATCTGACACCTTTTGCATAATTTAATGGTAAAAACTTTGCTCAAAATCCTATTTTACACAATCAGATACACCAGATAACAGGGGGCAGAAGACTACACAAAAAATAATCTCGACTTATCGCATAGTAATAAATTATTAATCGAAAATGTATTAATCGAAAATGTATTTGTTTTTGAAAAAATGAATTTCGAAAAAAAATGAATTTTGAAAAAATGAATTTCGTTTTTTTCTTTTTACATATTTTGTTAAAAGGCCAAATAAGAAATTCAAACCAAAAAAAAGTAATTTTCTGTTTTGTTTTATTCTTGGATCAGGCTTTAAAGGGTTAAAGACAATTTGAACAGTCGAGCCTCTGTGTTTCACGTCCAAAGACATTTTCTTTGGGCTCTCTAATGAAATATTTGGATAAATTTTAACTTTTGTGTCCCTCAGAGTGAAGGAGAGGGCGGCTCTGAAGACCCAGCAGCTGGCCAACCTGCTGCCCACCCAGGGGGACATCTCCTCCAGCAAAGAGCCGGCCGCTGTCTGACCGGGCTCCACCGGTCCTTCACCCCCTCTCACCGATATATTCACCCATCTCCTGAACTTATTAACTCACTGACTGCCAGCCATTTTCAGAACAGAGAGTCCCATACTGCCAGAGTTTTTTCAGCATTTTGACTGATTTTTCAAGAGCCACAGAATAGTTTGTGCTATG